CGAGTTTTTGTTTTAGTGTATCGATGTATTCTGTAATGTGTGTGTTGTGATGTTCGTGTTTTGTGTGTGTTTTGATTTTCTTGAAAATGTTTTTGAGTTGTTTCTTTAATTTGGGTGTTATGTTGTTTTTAGTGTATTGTGTCAGCCTGCCTAATTGCTGTCTAATGTCATTTATTTGTGTTTCTATTCTTCTCTGAATACTTATATAAGTATTTTTATAAAATTAACTGCTTGTACCTCTGTTGACAAAAACTACAATTTAGAAAAATATATGTGTTGACGAGAATATTCTGGTGCTCTCCTAGGGATATTCCAGGTAGTGCTTAGATTTTTTTATATATAAGAAGACCCTGTTCTATGTAGAGTTTCTTGTGCTTTTGTATCTCTACTGTATATAGCATATATTAAACTGTTTCAACCAAGCAGTTCCTTTTCCTTACCTTGCTACAACACACTGCACCAACTACAACAATATCAGAATCTAAATAGAAAATTAAGTCATATTGTTTTGTTCATATTCATTTGTATGTATAAGCACGCATAATTTGTTGAATAAGTTGTTTTCCAACAAAAATTTTTATTTGCCAAAATTCAGAAAAAGAAAATTATTTTAAACTAATTTACTAATCAAATACATTAGAATCTATTTATTGTTTATTGTAATCACATATATTGTTATTAGTCATCTAAAATTATCAGAATTAATGTATCCCAAAAAATATGTTAAAATACATTTATAAATAAATTCACTAATTATAATCTGAATTTCACTTGTAGTTACCATTACTTTCTTTTAAATGTTAAAATTAAATGAATTTTAAATGTTAAAAATTAATGTTTAACTGTTCAACTAGTTTATAAATTAAAAGCTTCTGATGATAAAAATTAAAGCTTCCAACAAACTTTAAATGAAAAAATTTTTGATAGTCCTGAAAACTTAAGGGAGATGATTAAAAAAAAGACGAGCTTAAAGTATGTTTCATTACATTATACGTATTTAGCAAAACATTTAAACTACAGTTGCTCCCCCTATAACACTGTTGATTATTCCGTTTTATATTAATTCCATGTTGTATGAGTCACTTTGATTTTACAAATACGTGAGCCGGGCCATGTATGGCTCACGTATTTGTAAAATCTAAGTGACTCGTACAACATGGAATTAATATAAAACGGAATAATCAACAGTGTTATAGGGGGTTGACTGTAATTTCTTCATCTTTGTAATATTACTATATCATTTCATAAACTTCAATAAATAAGACTTATTATGAAACATAAATAGAGTATTTAAGAAACAGACTTAAAATTTAAATATATATTTTTTTTTTAAAAACCTATTTTATTAAGAATAAAATATTTTAATGTATAGAAATTTTGTGAATTTACCAACTAATTGTGCAAGATATATACAAGTTTACGTATTTGTATTAAACTGTATGTATAGCTGACTTTAGTTAACATTATATTTGTTGCATTACATGAGTCAAATTTGCTAGGAATAGCCAATATCTGTATAATGCATTTATGGTACTAAATATACTACTGTACCAACTAGTTGCTAAAGATGTGATACAGTTAGATATGTTTTGTTTCTAGCCAATGTATACAAATCTCAAAACAGATAAATAAATCTGCAGAAAAATATTTTATGGTAGAGACACAACTGAGACAGAATATCAACATCCAACAAAAAATAAAACTGCTATATTTGTTCCAAGATTATGAGGAGATAGAAGATCTTTGGATAATGAAAGAAATAATAAATAATGATAAACAATTATTATTATATTAAATTAAATGGTGAAAGGTAACGGAAACAAATTATCTTAAATTTTCTTTTATGAATTACAGTATAAGAAATTTGTCGAAGCCAAACTCCATTTGTATATCCTTAATGTATGAATGTGTGATTTGTAGGAGCTGCTGAAGTTGTTTTTGTGTGGATGCATAAAGTTTTGTCATCCATGTACATGAGATGTGACAGTGTAAACTGTGTTGTTTTTCCATGTCTGATATTGTAGCCATATTGCATGTTGTTTAACATGTTGGATAATGGGTTCAGGGCTAGGCAGAACCAGAGAGGACTCAAAGAATCTCCTTGAAAAATCTTCCACTATGTTGTTTTGTTTGTTTGGTATGGAAGTGTTACTAATCCTGAGATGTAGTGTTGTTCTCCAGTGCTGCATAGTGTTTTGGAAGAATGCAATGAGTGATGGATGTATTTTGTACACGTGTAGAATATGTAGCAGCCAACTGCGTGGAATGCTGTTGAATGCTTTGAATGCTTTTCTGTAGTCTATATATGCCGTGTGTATGTTTCTGTGTTGTTTGTGTGCTTGCTGTAGAATGACTGAATCTATGAGTTACTGTTCTTTGCATACCCTGTGATTTCTAAGGCAACCTTTTTGTTGTTGTAATGTTGTGTTCTTCAATGTGTTTGTATATTTTGTTTGCGATACAGGCTGTCAATAATTTGTAGAATATTGGGAGACATTTGGTCTGTATTGTGTGGGGTCTGTGGTGTTGTTGTTTTTAGGTTTCATGTAGGTGATGCCCTGAGTAAGAAATTTTGGTATGTCTTGTGGATTGATGATGATGTGTGTTAGATGTTTAGCTAGTTCCTGGTGCAGTGATGTAAACTTTTTGTACCAGAAATTGTGAATGTTGTCTACATCAGATGTCTTCCAGTTGTGTGTTCTGTTAACAGCGTAGCAGATGTCGTGTATGTTTATTTCAGCACAGGGCATAGCTGGTATGTTGTGCAAGTTTCTGTTCTCCTCCTCGATCCAGCCTGCATCAGCATTGTGTGTAACAGCATTGGACCAAAGAGAAGACCAATAAGTTGTGAGTTCTTCTGTTGATGTGCCACTGTGCTGTGTATCAGTGTTTGTTTTTGTACTGATTTGTCTGTAGAAAAGTTTTTCATTGTTTGTGAATAATTTATTTTGTTGTTCTCATAGTATACATGTTTTGTATTGTATGAGTATACGTGCTTTGTCTATGAGTTTTTGTTTTAGTGTATCAATGTATTCTGTAATGTGTGTGTTGTGATCGTGTTTTGTGTGTGTTTTGATTTTCTTGAAAATGTTTTTGAGTTGTTTCTTTAATTTGGGTGTTATGGTTTTTTTTAGTGTATTGTGTCAGCCTGCATAATATCTGTCAAATGTCATTTATTTGTGTTTCTATTCTTCTCTGATAGGCAGGCTTGTGATAGAATTGTGTTTTGTGTGTGTCTGTCTGCAATTGTATTTTCAGTCCATGGTGTGTTACTACTGTGACTGCCCAGCATAAACTAATGTATGAATGTCTGAGAGTGAAGAAATTAAATGGATGTAGTGTGGTAGTAAGTGAGTGTTTACATAATTTAGTGTTTTTCCTACTACCTTTGATGTGTTGATTTTCGGTATTCGTGGTCTTTGTGTGGGATCTGTACCTGTATATTTAGTGAGTGTTTCCTGAAATATAAGTGAGAGTGTATTAACTAATTCTATGTCTATATTATCAGTGATGGATGAGGAAGTGCCTGTAATATCATTACTGGTAGTTGTTGTATGTCTGCTATTATCAATGCTTGTTGCTGGATTAACCTGACAGGTTACATGATCTTCATTAATAATGTTAAATGTTTCTGTCTGTTGATGTATTTGATCAGCAACCTGCTGTTTGATAAGTTCAAGTGTTGTTTGTGGGATAAGGTTGTTGTGTATAATTGTTCTTCTTTGATCAACAACCCTTTGTTTGCTGACAGTGAGATGAGGATATTGTTGTGTGAATCTATGGTGTAGTTGTTGTATGTATGCTGTCATGTTTGTTTCTGTTGTATGTATGCTGTCATGTTTGTTTCGAGTTTTGTGATTGCATAGTAAGTATGGATGATAAAGTTGTTCATTTCTGATGTCCATTTCATTTGTTGGCCTGGTTTTCCAGCCTTTGTGGTCTGTGGATGCATGACATCCCCGGACGGCAAGTCGGATGGTAACACTGTTCCATGCTCATTTCAAGCGGTCCGAATCATAGGTGGACGAAAATATGAAATAAAATGGTTCAAATTCTTACAATATATTGTCAAATTTTGCCGCCCCCTAAAAAGTAATTTTGCAGCCCTCTAAAAACTGCCGCCTGGGGCTGGCCCCCCTGCTGCTCCCCTACGCTACGCTACTGACTACTGTATAAATTAGGTAATAAATGGTTTTTTAAATTTGTATTATAGTGTCTGTAATTATAACAGCATGAATGTCTATGATAAAGTATTTATAATTATATTTTAAATCAGGAATTTTTCTGGGTAAATAATCCGGGTTTTTAAACTCCCTATCTGGGTTTTTTTTTTCCATCCAGACCCAAGTTTTTTCATATGTCATGAGTGGCATCCCTGGCCACCAGTAACCAAGGGAGACTGTGGCCTATTTTTTTGAATGTGAGCCTCTGCCTAACCCACAAACGCGGACCTTGTTAACCTGGGCGACGTCTGAGCGGGTATCACACTTTGATCTGGTTACTACCATGATAAATGTCTCCACAGAATGTGGGTGTGGTCACTCTTAGCTTCATTTCTCCCCATAGACCTTACTGGCATGGTTGTCCCTACCAGGAGCTTGTGCTCCAGCCTACATTGCTCCATGGTTCAGTAAAATTACTGGGCTCTCCCACCATGACCAGATGGTGACCAAGGAAGAGTTATTATTATTATTATTATGTAACGATTTATATCATTCATCATTTTTCTCTAAGAGACCAAATAATTTTCAGAAGTTATTGTATGTTAAAAGGATAAAAAATAAAAGTATCTGAAAAATAAATGGTGATAATTTAAATTTCCATAATTTATAAAAAAATCACATGCTTTATTATATTATAATTGATATTACATACCTATAAACATAATAACTGTTTGAAACCATGGATGATCAAATTTATGTACTGTTGTTGTTGAATTGGTTTTTGAATCAGGATAACCAGCTGCACTATAAGAGTTTTAAAATTAATTTCATAAACAAATCATGTACATAACTAAAAATTGCACATTTCTATAAAATAATTGGCAAAGTTTATTACGACAACAAAGTCATTTATCAGTTCTAAAATAATAATTAATAAACATTACTCATCTATATCAATCAGCTTTAATAATACTATAGAACCAACATTAGTCAATATGATAATAAACATATCAAACACCAATGTAGAAAAGATAACAGTAAATCTAAATATATAGTTCCTCTAATAGCTCAAAGTAAAATTAGTTACCATAGATGAATGCCTATGATAACTAATCAGTCTCTGAGTAGCTTATACAGCTCTCAGGTAGATGACAAATTATTTTAGTTACTCTAAGTCTTCTATAATAAAACATCATATTGTTTTCATCTGCAGTCACAATTTAATCTGAAATTAATTCAAATCAAAGTTTTGTAATGGTAGATGACTAATAACTAGACAGCAGACATATAGGCCCTTAAAATTGGCGTTTTAGGCGCTTAAAATAAGCTCTTAAATTGCATCATTTAGGCTTTATAAACAAAAAATAGGCGTTCAAAATTTGCACAATGAACAATTAACGTACTTATCAGGACAATGAATTTTTTATTTAACATATGTATTCCAAACAAAAATGCACGTATTCAGAATGATGCAAACACAAAAGTAGACAAACAATAATCTTTACATTTTTTATTCGCTCTGTTTCCCATAGTTAGCTTCATAATATATTACAAGCAGTTTTTCCAAATTTTCAATAGAAAAGTTGCAACGTTTGAGTCACTGAGAATTAATTTATATATGAGAAAGAGCATATAATCCGTTATCTTCAGTAGATGTGTTCCACATCTACTGAAGATAACGGATTATATTTCAACCTTGGAAGAAGATGAACTGGGAATTCACTTTTGCTCTTTTTTCTTGTCAAAATATCAGCCACAATAAACAAGCACTTTAATCCAAGTCTCTTTTGAAGCACTACTTTCAACTCTTTCTTCACTTTTTTTGCAGTAGTGCCTGGTGCATCATAAAGTTTCTGGTTTGCTCTGTTGAGGAGATCAATTTGTTCATATATAGGTTTCCCACTACTTTCAAGAGCAGTAATAGTATCTGCAATGAATGTGAAATAACACTTGATGTACATCAACTTGTTCTGAACATAAATGTCATTCAAAATTTTCTTGGCTTTAGTTACACAAACTGCATTGTCCGCTAAAGTGGCCAGAAGTTTTTTGATATCGAAGAAATGTTCACTGTAGTAGTTAGTACAAAATCTTAGCCATGTATATGCTAAGGGAAAAATAGGCATTTGCCTAAAATCCACTGTCTAAAAATGACAAATAAGGCATCTCTAACACTATATTTATTAAATAAAAGTATTTATTTTAAAATATTTCATATAGTTTTAATTTTATTACTATAAAATTGCATCAGGGGTGTAATTTATTTCCGTTATTATTGCATTCTAATTTTTCTGCTTGGGATATGCATCCACTGGGACTTAAATATAAGTAATCAATAATAATAAAAAATTGAATTTGTCTGATTGCATTTTCAGGAAAAAGTTGAAACTTAAGCAGTTTAATTTAAGAATTAAAGTAAACCTTTGCGGAAAATAAAACGAAAAATTAATAAAAACTTTTTAAAAATACGAAAACAGACTAAACTTTGTGTTTTAGGCAAAAATAGGCAGCAACGTCAAAATAAGCATTTTTTAGCACTATAAAATACCATTGTTTCGGTCTAAATGCTCATGAAAAGTGTTTGTACGAAATCTTAGCCAAGTATATGCCAAGGAAAAAAATAGGCATTTGCCTAAAATCTGCTGTCTACTAATAACTTATTGCATATATATTTGTGCTAAAAATTAACATATAATTCATTTAATTTTAAAACATTTCTTACTACTAACTGATGAATACTTTAATAAATTAATCTGAATCTATTTCTTCAACTTTTAAGTTAGAATTTGCCAATTTTGCACTATTTTGGAAATGAACTCTGCAGTCTTATAGTATTTACAGTCTTATAGTATTGCAGATACTTCACGATGTGATTGATCTTTAATTTTATTACTAGATTTTTCTTTATAGAATTTTTATTACAAGTTTAATAGAATCTTTAAATGCAATTTATCAAACCAGTAATTATTATTATAATATAGTGTAAGATGATCTCTCTCACAGTGTTAATAATTTTAATAAATTTATAGTTTTTTTATGAAGTCACCAAGCAAATCTATTAAAAAAAACTGGTTGATCAAACTACAGCATTTTAAGAACCAAATGTGTAGGTTAGCCGAGTCCAATCACTGAATCCTTATGAGCACTTTTAATCAACTTCAGATAAGGTATTGTGTCTCATTTGCCAAGTACCATATACACCCCATTTATATTGATTAACAATTTTTAGGAAATTTAGGTCATAAAAAACAAAATCTACTGTAATTCCATTACTATCAATATTATACCGTACATCTCAGTCACTCAATTCTAACCAATTAAAAAGATTATGAATTCACCAAACAGCATAAAGAACAACAATAAAGAAGCATGTTCAGAAAAAAAAATTAATTTCAAATCAGTAAAACTACAATAACTACTAAAAAATGTTAGAGGAAATGATATAATACAGAAAAGAGAACTAGTAGTAACAAATTAACAAGATTGCAAAATTAATAAATTATAAAACACATCATAAAGATCCTGGCCATATTATCAGATTAAATAATCTAAGTGGCCAGGATCTTTAAATGTGTTTTTTAATTTATTAATTTTGCTATCTTGTTATAAACAGAATAAGATTTAAGGACAAACTAACAATATGATAGTCAAAAAATTGAACAAGATGAAGAGAGAGGAAAAAGCAGAAAAATGATATACAAAGCTAAATCAAGCCAAAGTAAAATATAAAAGAAAAGGCTCATTTTTGCCAAGACTAATAATTTTCCAAAATAGACAAATTTTTGTTTTTTCATGTTTCAAATTGAATAACTTTTACTATATTTTAAGTATAGAAAACCACTGTCTTCATAATAAATAAGAAGTTTCGCTTTAATGATTAATGAATGATAACATCTGATTAATGAATTCTTTAATTCATTTTAGTTTAATTTTCATTTTACTTAGACTATATAGTGTTGAATAATAAATTTTATTCAATATCCAATTAATTTTGTGTACTTATTAGAAAGAATTTAGTGTGATTCTTAACATGATTTTTAATACTGTAACCAATATAGCTTTTGTATAATTTTTTATCACAATTTTTAAATATAGCTATGATTCCAAAGCGGGACTTTTTCATTTTTAAGTGATATTTTATATCTAAGAAAACATTTATTTGCAAATAAAATATTCTATTTAAACATTTTTCCTACAGGATAATTATTAATAAATATATATAATATAAATATATCAATAAATAGTATAATATTAATAGACTTTTTGGTCATATTTTTATAAATAAAAAAATGATTAATAAACAAAAATTCACACCTAAATGCTAATTCCAGCAGTAATTGAACAAAAATTTAATGTTTGAATGTTTTCAGCTGTCTTTTAGAGGTCCTCCCCAGGGAGTTACATGTGCTAGTTTTTTTGTCTGATTTATTCATGGCAAAGCCGGCCAAACTATACAGAAAAGCTGTTCTATCCCTAACCAGGATAAGGGAGAAGCTAATAATTAATAAACAAATTTTATTTAAAAGTGATGATTATGTTTTATGTTTAAATAATACAATAAGAATAAATATAAAATAACTAATTTTTATTAAATTTCATTACTAATGACAGGAGAGGAGCTTTAGGTCATATGAACACATGGAATATGAACCATTTCAAAAATACAAACACAATGAACATGATAAACAAATTTGAAAAATACAGAACATTATAGATTTAAAATAAAATATTTTAAACTATGAACTCACACTGACCAATCTTTGGCTCATGAGTTGCATTGGTTCCTCTAGACCAGCAATTCCCAACTGGGTACATTACATGTTTGGTAATTTACAGTAACCAAAAAAAAAAAAAAAAAATTATAATGGCAGAGGTACTATAAAAATATCCGGATTCTGCATTGAGGCCTTTGTTGATGTCATGGCACTCAATGCTCAGTTTAAAATAAAAATAAAATTACATTTTTATTGTATTTATCTATGTTCTTCCTCCAATGCTTTTCCATGGAAACTTTTCAACTTGAAAAAAATTTTTACAGCAATTGTACAGCACTAGGTGCTGCTGTTTGACAAACACACAAAATAAAACTTAGCAAAAATAAGTTAGCAGTTCAAGAAAAGTTGGAAACTGCTGCTCTGGACCTTTATTACAGCTCCCATATACTTATACAATTTCTTTTTATAAACTTGGTACATACAAAAATATTTTATTTGTATAAATATTAAGTTTTCTGAGTATTATATGGTATAAAATACACAAGGATTGTAAATGTAATTCACAACTTAACCTCAAACAAGTAACTGAAAGCTTAGTATGTATTCATAACTCAAATAAGTTCAATAATTATTTACCTAATCAGTTATAAAGTAACAGTAAAGTAAGTCATATTTATTGTAGAATAGTATTAACTATAGTATTTTAACTATATAAAATGTAAATAGATAATGCAGCTCTTCAATAGGCATTACAATAGAGGATGAAACTCATGTATTTCTGATAGATAGTGCTTAGACACTTCTGATGTGAGCCATTGTAAACTCTATAAATTAAAAACAAATTTATTTAAATTTAAAATAATGAAACACTATACATTATAAAAATAACTCAAAAGTATGACATAATGGTTTAAAACAGTGGTTCTTAACCTTTTAGTGACAAGAGACCATTTATCAAAATTTTTGTCTTGTGATGGACCACAAGCTGTTTAGCAGTAATATAGGTTCTTATAAGGTTGTTCTATAAATTAAATATGTAGAAAATTATTCGAAACCAAGAGTATTATATTATTTGCGAAAGTGTTACAT